CCAGGTCCACGTCCACGTCCACGTCCACGTCCACGTCTATGTCCACGTCCACGTCCACGTCCACGTCCACGTCCATGTCCATGTCCACGTCCACGTCCACGTCCAAGTCCACGTCCACGTCCACGTCCACGTCCATGTCCACGTCCACGTCCACGTCCACGTCCAGGTCTATGTCCACGTCCACGTCCACGTCCACGTCCACGTCCACGTCCACGTCCACGTCCCCGTCCACGTCCACGTCCACGTCCACGTCCACGTCCACGTCCACGTCCACGTCCATGTCCACGTCCACGTCCACGTCCACGTCCACGTCCACGTCGACGTCCACATCCACGTCCACGTCCACGTCGACGTCCACGTCCATGTCCACGTCCAAGTCGTCCACGTCCACGTCCACGTCCATGTCCTTCATGTCCACGTCCACGTCCATGTCGACGTCCACGTCCACGTCTACGTCCACGACCATGTCCACGTCCATGTCCACGTCCACGTCCACGTCCACGTCCACGTCCACGACCATGTCCACGTCCACGTCCACGTCCATGTCCACGTCCATGTCCACGTCCACGTCCATGTCCACGTCCTCTACGTCCACGTCCACGTCCACGTCCACGTCCACGTCCATGTCCACGTCCATGTCCACCACGTCCACGTCCACGTCCACGTCCACGTCCATGTCCATGTCCACGTCCACGTCCACGTCCACGTCCATGTCCACGTCCATGTCCACGACCATGTCCACGTCCACGTCCACGTCCACGTCCACGTCCACGTCCACGTCTATGTCCACGTCCACGTCCACGTCCACGTCCACGTCCATGTCCACGTCCATGTCCACGTCCACGTCCACGTCCATCTCCACGTCCACGTCCACGTCCACGTCCACGTCCATCTCCACGTCCACGTCCACGTCCACGTCCATGTCCACGTCCACGTCCACGTCCACGTCCACGTCCACGTCTATGTCCACGTCCAGGTCCACGTCCACGTCCACGTCCACGTCCACGTCCACGTGTCCACGTCCACGTCCACGTCCACGTCCACGTCCACGTCCACGACCACGTCCACGTCCACGTCCACGTCCGCGTCCGCGTCCGCGTCCGCGTCCGCGTCTGCGTCCGCGTCTGCGTCCCCGTCCCTGTCCACGTCCACGTCCATGTCCTTCATGTCCACGTCCACGTCCACGTCCACGTCCATGTCCTTCACGTCCACGTCCACGTCCACATCCACGTCCATCTCCACGTCCACGTCCACGTCCACGTCCACGTCCACGTCCACGTCCACATCCACGTCCATCTCCACGTCCACGTCCACGTCCACGTCCATCTCCACGTCCACGTCCACGTCCACGTCCATGTCCACGTCCACGTCCACGTCCACGTCCACGTCCACGTCTATGTCCACGTCCATGTCCACGTCCACGTCCATGTCGACGTCCACGTCCACGTCCACGTCCACGTCCACGTCCACGTCCACGTCCACGACCACGTCCACGTCCACGTCCATGTCCACGTCCACGTCCACGTCCACGTCCACGTCCACGTCCACGTCCACGTCCACGTCCAAGTCCACGTCCACGTCCACGTCCACGTCCACCTCCACGTCCACGTCCACCTCCAAGTCCACGTCCACCTCCACGTCCACCGTCCACGTCCACCTCCACGTCCACGTCCACGTCCACGTCCAAGTCCACCTCCACGTCCAAGTCCACGTCCACGTCCACGTCCACGTCCACGTCCACAACCACGTCCACGTCCACGTCCACGTTTACGTCCACGTCCACGTTTACGTCCACGTCCAGGTCCACGTCCAGGTCCACGTCCACGTTTACGTCCACATCCACGTCCATGTCCAGGTCCACGTCCACGTCCACGTCCACGTCCACGTCCACGTCCACGATCACGTCCACGTCCACGTCCACGTCCACGATCACGTCCACGTCCACGACCATGTCTTCGTCCACGTCCACGTCCACGTCCACGTCCACGACCATGTCTTCGTCCACGTCCACGTCCACGTCCACGTCCACGACCATGTCTTCGTCCACGTCCACGTCCACGTCCACATCCACGTCCATGTCCTCGTCCAAGTCCTCCACGTCCACGTCCACGTCCACGTCCACGTCCATGTCCACGTCGTCCACGTCCATGTCCATGTCCACGTCCTCCACGTCCACGTCCATGTCCACGTCCTCCACATCCACGTCCACCTCCACGTCCACGTCCACATCCACGACCACGTCCATGTCTATGTCCACGTCCACGTCCATGTCCACGTCCACGTCCACGTCCACGTCCACGTCCATGTCCACGTCCACGTCCACGTCCATGTCCACGTCCATGTCCACGTCCACGTCCATGTCCACGTCCACGTCCACGTCCACGTCCACTAGAGGGAATCTAACGGTCTCACTCGATCAGAAGGTGGGAAATATATCAATCTAGTCAGCTAAAAAGGTTTGAAATGTATTCAACGCACATGTATAGAGAAAATGGTGCATTGGCCAGGTCGGTCAGTATGGGAACTTAGAGTGCAAATGCCTGGGAGAACGGAACCGCTCAGATGTCGCATAATACACGGAATCTAGTGGTCTCACTCAAATATAAGGTAGGAAATATATTCATCTAGTGAACGTAAGGGTTGGAAAGGTAACTAACGCACATGTGTAGAGAGAATGGTGCATCGGCGAGTCTGGCCGGCATTTCTCACTCATAGTGCAGGTGGGGCCAGGGAGAACGGAAACGCTCGTTTCTCAAAAAGTAGAGGGAATCTAACGGTCTCACTCGATCAGAAGGTGGGAAATATATAAATCTAGTCAGCTAAAAATGTTTGAAATGTATTCAACGCACATGTATAGAGAAAATGGTGCATTGGCCAGGTCGGTCAGTATGGGAACTTAGAGTGCAAATGCCAGGGAGAACGGAAGCGCTCAGATCTCGCATAGTACACGGAATCAAGTGGTCTCACTCAAATAGAAAGTAGGAAATATATTCATCTAGTGAACGTAAGGGTTTGAAAGGTAACTAACGCACATGTGTAGAGAAAATGGTGCATCGGCCAGTCTGGCCGGCATTTCGCACTTATAGTGCAAGTAGGGCCAAGTAGAACGGAAACGCTCATTTCTCAAAAAGTAAAGGGAATCTAGCGGTCTCACTCAATCAGAAGGTGGAAAATATATAAATCTAGTGAGCTAATAAGGTTCGGAAGGAATCTAATGCATATGTATATGGAAAATGGTGCATTGGCCAGGTCGGTCAGTATGGGAACTTAGAGTGCAAATGCCAGGGAGAACGGAACCGCTCAGATCTCGCATAATACACGGAATCTAGTGGTCTCACTCAAATGTAAGGTAGGAAATATATTCTAGTGAACGTAAGGGTTTGAAAGGTAACTAACGCACATATGTAGATAAAATGGTGCATCAGCGAGTCTGGCCGGCATTTCGCACTCATAGTGCAGGTGGGGCCAGGGAGAACGGAAACGCTCGTTTCTCAAAAAGTAGAGGGAATCTAACGGTCTCACTCGATCAGAAGGTGGGAAATATATAAATCTAGTCAGCTAAAAAGGTTTGAAATGTATTCAACGCACATGTATAGAGAAAATGGTGCATTGGCCAGGTCGGTCAGTATCGGAACTTCAAATGCAAATGCCAGGGAGAACGGAAGCGCTCAGATCTCGCATAGTACACGGAATCAAGTGGTCTCACTCAAATAGAAAGTAGGAAATATATTCATCTAGTGAACGTAAGGGTTTGAAAGGTAACTAACGCACATGTGTAGAGAAACTTGTGCATCGGCCAGTCTGGCCGGCATTTCGCACTTATAGTGCAACTAGGGCCAAGGAGAACGGAAACGCTCATTTCTCAAAAAGTAGAGGGAATCTAGCGGTCTCACTCGATCAGAAGGTGGGAAATATATAAATCTAGTGAGCTAATAAGGTTTGAAAGGAATCTAATGCATATGTATATGGAAAATGGTGCATTGGCCAGGTCGGTCAGTATGGGAACTTAGAGTGCAAATGCCAGGGAGAACGGAAGCGCTCAGATCTCGCATAGTACACGGAATCTAGTGGTCTCACTCAAATAGAAAGTAGGAGATAAATTCATCTAGTGAACGTAAGGGTTTGAAAGGTAACTAACGCACATGTGTAGAGAAGATGGTGCATCGGCCAGTCTGGCCGGCATTTCGCACTTATAGTGCAAGTAGGGCCAAGGAGAACGGAAACGCTCATTTCTCAAAAAGTAAAGGGAATCTAGCGGTCTCACTCGATCAGAAGGTGGGAAATATATAAATCTAGTGAGCTAATAAGGTTCGGAAGGAATCTAATGCATATGTATATGGAAAGCGGTGCATTGGCTAGGTCGGTCAGTATGGGAACTTAGAGTGCAAATGCCAGTGAGAACGGAACCGCTCAGATCTCGCATAGTATACGGAATCTAGTGGTCTCACTCAAATGGAAGATAGGAAATAAATTCATCTAGTGAACGTAAGGGTTTGAAAGGTAACTAACGCACATGTGTAGAGAAAATGGTGCATCGGCCAGTCTGGCCGGCATTTCGCACTCATAGTGCAGGTGGGGCCAGGGAGAACGGAAACGCTCGTTTCTCAAAAACTGGAGGGAATCTAACGGTCTCACTCGATCAGAAGGTGGGAAATATATAAATCTAGTCAGCTAAAAAGGTTTGAAATGTATTCAACGCACATGTATAGAGAAAATGGTGCATTGGCCAGGTCGGTCAGTATCGGAACTTAAAATGCAAATGCCAGGGAGAACGGAAGCGCTCAGATCTCGCATAGTACACGGAATCTAGTGGTCTCACTCAAATAGAAGGTAGGAAATATATTCATCTAGTGAACGTAAGGGTTTGAAAGGTAACTAACGCACATGTGTAGAGAAAATGGTGCATCGGCCAGTCTGGCCGGCATTTCGCACTTATAGTGCAAGTAGGGCCAAGGAGAACGGAAACGCTCATTTCTCAAAAAGTAAAGGGAATCTAGCGGTCTCACTCGATCAGAAGGTGGGAAATATATAAATCTAGTGAGCTAATAAGGTTTGAAAGGAATCTAATGCATATGTATAAGGAAAATGGTGCATTGGCCAGGTCGGTCAGTATGGGAACTTAGAGTGCAAATGCCAGGGAGAACGGAACCGCTCAGATCTCGCATAGTACACGGAATCTAGTGGTCTCACTCAAATAGAAGGTAGGAAATAAATTCATCTAGTGAACGTAAGGGTTTGAAAGGTAACTAACGCACATGTGTAGAGAAAATGGTGCATCGGCCAGGCTGGCAGGCATTTCGCACTTATAGTGCAAGTAGGGCCAAGGAGAACGGAAACGCTCATTTCTCAAAAAGTAAAGGGAATCTAGCGGTCTCACTCGATCAGAAGGTGGGAAATATATAAATCTAGTGAGATAAAAAGGTTTGAAAGGAATCTAGTGCATATGTATATGGAAAATGGTGCATTGGCCAGGTCGGTCAGTATGGGAACTTAGAGTGCAAATGCCAGGGAGAACGGAAGCGCTCAGATCTCGCATAGTACACGGAATCTAGTGGTCTCACTCAAATAGAAGGTAGGAAATAAATTCATATAGTGAACGTAAGGGTTTGAAAGGTAAATAACGCACATGTGTAGAGAAAATGGTGCATCGGCCAGTCTGGCCGGCATTTCGCACTTATAGTGCAAGTAGGGCCAAGGAGAACGGAAACGCTCATTTCTCAAAAAGTAAAGGGAATCTAGCGGTCTCACTCGATCAGAAGGTGGGAAATATATAAATCTAGTGAGCTAATAAGGTTTGAAAGGAATCTAATGCATATGTATATGGAAAATGGTGCATTGGCCAGGTCGGTCAGTATGGGAACTTAGAGTGCAAATGCCAGGGAGAACGGAAGCGCTCAGATCTCGCATAGTACACGGAATCTAGTGGTCTCACTCAAATAGAAGTTAGGAAATAAATTCATCTAGTGAACGTAAGGGTTTGAAAGGTAACTAACGCACATGTGTAGAGAAAATGGTGCATCGGCCAGTCTGGCCGGCATTTCGCACTTATAGTGCAAGTAGGGCCAAGGAGAACGGAAACGCTCATTTCTCAAAAAAGTAAAGGGAATCTAGCGGTCTCACTCGATCAGAAGGTGGGAAATATATAAATCTAGTGAGCTAATAAGGTTCGGAAGGAATCTAATGCATATGTATATGGAAAGTGGTGCATTGGCCAGGTCGGTCAGTATGGGAACTTAGAGTGCAAATGCCTGGGAGAACGGAACCGCTCATATCTCGCATAATACACGGAATCTAGTGGTCTCACTCAAATATAAGGTAGGAAATATATTCATCTAGTGAACATAAGGGTTTGAAAGGTAACTAACGCACATGTGTAGAGAAAATGGTGCATCGGCCAGTCTGGCCGGCATTTCGCACTCATAGTGCTGGTGGGGCCAGGGAGAACGGAAACGCTCGTTTCTCAAAAACTGGAGGGAATCTAACGGTCTCACTCGATCAGAAGGTGGGAAATATATAAATCTAGTCAGCTAAAAAGGTTTGAAATGTATTCAACGCACATGTATAGAGAAAATGGTGCATTGGCCAGGTCGGTCAGTATCGGAACTTAAAATGCAAATGTCAGGGAGAACGGAAGCGCTCAGATCTCGCATAGTACACGGAATCAAGTGGTCTCACTCAAATAGAAAGTAGGAAATATAATCATCTAGTGAACGTAAGGGTCTGAAAGGTAACTAATGCACATGTGTAGAGAAAATTGTGCATCGGCCAGTCTGGCCGGCATTTCGCACTTATAGTGCAACTAGGGCCAAGGAGAACGGAAACGCTCATTTCTCAAAAAGTAGAGGGAATCTAGCGGTCTCACTCGATCAGAAGGTGGGAAATATATAAATCTAGTGAGCTAATAAGGTTCGAAAGGAATCTAATGCATATGTATATGGAAAATGGTGCATTGGCCAGGTCGGGCAGTATGGGAACTTAGAGTGCAAATGCCAGGGAGAACGGAAGCGCTCAGATCTCGCATAGTACACATAATCTAGTGGTCTCACTCAAATAGAAGGTAGGAAATAAATTCATCTAGTGAACGTAAGGGTTTGAAAGGTAACTAACGCACATGTGTAGAGAAAATGGTGCATCGGCCAGTCTGGCCGGCATTTCGCACTTATAGTGCAAGTAGGGCCAAGGAGAACGGAAACGCTCATTTCTCAAAAAGTAAAGGGAATCTAGCGGTCTCACTCGATCAGAAGGTGGGAAATATATAAATCTAGTGAGCTAATAAGGTTTGAAAGGAATCTAATGCATATGTATATGGAAAATGGTGCATTGGCCAGGTCGTTCAGTATGGGAACTTAGAGTGCAAATGCCAGGGAGAACGGAACCGCTCAGATCTCGCATAGTACACGGAATCTAGTGGTCTCACTCAAATAGAAGGTAGGAAATATATTCATCTAGTGAACGTAAGGGTTTGAAAGGTAACTAACGCACATGTGTAGAGAAAATGGT